CCGCTTTTATGAAAGAATAGGAAGAAAAAAGAAACGTAGAAAAGAACGAAAAGAACAAAACAAAGTTTTTGCATCGCATTAAAACACTAAAAATAATAGTGAAATGCATAAAAATAATGTTTGGTATGGAAATATGCAAAAGCATCACAAGTAATAGTAATAGTAGTCCTAGTAGCAATGGTAGTAGTTAGTACTGGCAGCAGTGCATAGAGGAAAAGGCAACAAAAAAACACTTTATGAATGCCTTTTAAACTTAACACTTAACAGCGTTGTTACGTGCATAAATACACACACACACACACGCGCGCACGCACGCAAGTACATAGACACACAAACGAACACTTATAAAGAAAAAATACATTAGCTTTTTTTAGCAGATTCATAAACGCACGCACATCCTTTTATTCATATATATATATATGTATAATTGAACCACTCAAGCAAAGGTATAAAAACAACACTATTAATAGCAGGAAGATAGTAAAGCAATATGATGGGAGGGGGAGGGAGAGAAAGGCGGGGAGGAAGAAAATGAGAGACGGAGGTGCTGAAAAAACGGGAGAAAAGTACAGAGCTGCCTTAGTTTATGTAAGTCCACGTGCAGCTATATACACGCGCGCACACAACAGGCATATAAGTAAGTCTAGGCAACATGAATATGGAGTTTTTGGTTTTTTTTTTCTTTTTTTTAACTTGAATATCTCTGTCTATAAACGAAACCGAGAAACAGTTATAAAATAGGATTACGGAGTACAAAAGGACGTCTTCACTGTAGATTAAGATTCATAGTGAAAAGGTAGTTAAGAGGCTGGTGTTACACATATAAACATGAAAACATACACACTCGCACACATATACAAAAATCATTTTTATTGTTGTGTGAAAAGTACGTCAGACCAGGTGTATGCATGCAATCGCCTAAGCTTTAGTTACCGCAATCGTAACTCTACCTCATATTCCAAGAGGCCAGCTTAAATTTGAAAGCAACTTAATACTCTTTTCAGGATGACTCTTGCAATGCTATTATCTCTCTTCCTGTTTTACTCTACTTCTTCTTCCTCTGTGCACAACTCTTATTCTACACTAGAAAAACTTTAAGTAATAGATTTTCTTAAGCGTATGGTTTGTACAATAGTTTCTCTTTTCGTCTACTGCTTCGACTTCTTCTTTTTTTCTTTTTTTTTTTTTATGTTTCTTATTCTTATTCTTATTGCACAAAAGCATTGAAAACAATACGAGCCAACATTAACCATTTTTGCTTGTGGAATTTTGCTTTCAGTTACAAGCGCACAGGGTTACTTTTTCGAATATCACTACTGCTCCCAGCACCAGAATTCTTTCTATGGGTATCACACAACTGTAAAATATATTTTTTATCTTCTCCTATAAATAAAAAGCTATTTAATATTCCTGCAGGCGCCGTTGCCGACAATGCTTACTGAATGAATTCCTCGTAGTAAACAACAGCAACCTTTCTTTTGATAAATGATTGCATTGCAAAAGTCGAAGCATATGAATAAAAGTTTTTTTTTTTTTATTTTTTATTTTAAATAAGAAAAACATAACAATAGGAAAACGTGGCATCGCTATATGTTACATTACTAAGGTACAATGATTTCCTTATTGGTTGTTGTATCCTAAAGCGAAAGATAAAGAGAATGTTTACCAAGGTAAGGGACGAAGACGAACGTGCACGTATGGGTTTTGTCAATTGTTGAAAAACAAAAAAAAAAAAAGCAAAATATTTCTTTCTCCTTTTAAATAAGCCGTTTATATGGAAAGTGGCTTAAGCCACTAGTTTTTTTTTTAACTCGAAATTTTTCCAAGTAAAGAGATTTCGTTAAATTATATCATTAAAGTGACAGTATATCATTATGACACTTTTAAAACGAAGCGCTCTAATATTGATGACTGCATAAAATATATATAAAAGAGAGGAAAGACAACAGATGACATATGAGAAACTGTTACTTCTCCTACCATTAGCAAACTATGAATAATGAAGGCAGATAATATGCCGATTCGTCATACTATCTAATAGGGAGAGTAATGAGACGAATGGAAATCAAAAGTATCGATTTATGCCAGAAAGGTGACAAGAAATGGAATCGCATCTCCCTTAACTGTTTCCAGACAAAAGAGCGAAGGAGCTCTTTATATAAAGTAATCTTAAAGCAATAATCTTTAAGTAACGGTCACCACCAAGAGTAATGTTACATATTAACAACGTCGGTAGTTGTGGCGCACCAGATGCCTGCCATATATAAACGGCACGCATCGTTATATCTCTTGAAAAGCTAATCCCTTGTAAAATGGCCCAATTCCTATGATCTGAATAGGGTACGCGGGATGCCTTTCCTTATGCGTCTCTTACATACAGATGCCCACTTGTTGATTGTAACAATTTTTAAAAAATACAGAAAAGAAGAATTTGAACTTCTCGATGGTACTTAAACGATTTTCTACCCTTTTAAAAATTATATGATATCTATATGAACTGGAAACAAGAACTGTACCCTTTATAAATCAATAACAGTGGAAATGGTAGCAGTTTACTATAATTTCTGCGATAATTTTAGAAAAAGAAAAAAATCAAATAAACTTTTAAATATTAACTAAAAGGCTTCCTTTTCTCTAAAAGGATACCAACTGCTTACACCGCATGGCTGATAGTCAGCAGTTGAGAGAGATTTTAGCACTTCAGTTTTAAATGCATTCTCTCTGATAAAAAGTCGATCGCCGCACCTTCTGCCGCTATGTAACAAAGATTTCAAATGGCGAACCATCTAATGTGAAAGTTTTTTACCGTTGGGCTTTATGTATTTTTATGCCCCATACCAATCGTGGAACAGGGTATATCAAGTTTGTGCGGTTGTATGTAGCATGTATAAAAGCTTAGGTTTTATTATACCGATCCATTCACAACCATTTTTTAAATCGAGCTAAGCCTGTCTCTCTGTCAGGCTGTCCGCGTGATGTCTGTCCATTTGCGTTCAAGCTACATGTGGCAATTTTTGAGATATTGTGATGAAGTTTGGTATACTGACGCGCATTGGTCCAAGGGCGCACATTATTGAAAATGGTTTGGATCGCTTCCCTTTTTTGACCACTTCTCATATAAGTATTTAATAAGTCTTTATATGGAAAAAAAATTTCAGGTATCAAAATTGCTCGACAAAACTCGCTTTGTAATAGTAATTAAAAACATTCTAAATTCGTATGAAAAATTTGATTCAGCTGGGGCGATTTCTTGAACCCTCTTTCGTCTAACTGTTCTTACGAAAACTGTGTCTGTTTATGGCAAAGAGGTACAATTTTGAATATTGCATGGTGAAAATTAGTTTAAAATAGCAGATTGATACGGAAATCAACCTTAACGAATTTGGAGCACATACGTCTATTTTTTGGATACTACCGCATATAAGGATTCCACCAATGTGGGGGCTATCATGGAAAGTCTGCCTTTGCATGGAAGTGCAAAGTCGGCCTTGCCCGACTATAATGTTCGTCCTTATTTTTGTTGCTCTTCTTTCTGTTTGTCTGTGGACATCATTAAAGAGCTAATATATAATGATTCAACCTTTAATCGTTTGATTCCTGTGTCGCCAATATTCACCAAATGACGACACTGTACTTCTTACACCAACTTCTATGTCAAAGTACAGTCGACATGACATTATTTGAAATTATTAATTAAGAAAATTAGTGGGAGGTTAAAAAAAAAATGGGTTTACAAATGATTTTCTGTATTCCTGTGAAAATTTACCAGATCAGCCAAAGAAACCGACGAATGTAATCTCACTATTCTTAAATAACAGGAAATCGTAACCAAAGGTTAATTCGCCGTGTCAGGTTAGCGCGCTAATAGCTTACCGATCAGGTAGTTAAATTAACTTAGAACTAAGTTGATAGATCAAAGCCCTTTAAAGGATTACATCGACAACATTGTAATTACTTTAGCGAGGGTAGTAAATTCTGAAAGTAAGTAAGTCTTAACGCACTAGCATCTAAGACTATCGGCTTGGTTAAAAACTTTACCTCATCAAAAATAATCCACAATCTTATGCGGCGAAATATAAACGACTGTTAAATATATTTAAAATACATTAGTTATTAAAAACATTTTCTATGGGAACATCGTTAACAGGTTGATTTAACAATGGAACTCTCAATGTTTTACATTTCCATATGTGTGTGTACTAAAATGGATCACTTTGCTCCCCTCCATTTGTTGAATTAGCACAATTGCAAAAGTAAGACAAGGGTATTGATTAAAGATCCAAGACTAAAAAGTGCTTGTGCTCCGCCCCCAACAGCTTAGAAACTGAGATAATCTCGAAAAATGTTCGCTTCGAGACTGGACCGGATGGATTGATTGGTACGTCCACAAATAGCGATAAAATTCGAATTCTAATTTATTTCCATTCATTCCGAGTTGAATGAAGAGCGAGCTAATGTACATTGGAGTAAATTGGAAATGTATTGGAAATATATTGAAATTACAATTTCCTCATTAACTCTGAAAGCGTTAGTGAACCAATCAGAGCCATCTTTCAATTGAATGTGAAATTAATCCCAACGAACATCTGGGTCACAAGCAGCCAGTGGACCACTAAAATAATTAAGATTCCGCGTAGGAGCGTTGAATCACATCATAAACTTATTTGTGGGCAATCATTAAGAATGTAGAAGCAAAGTTTCACTTTTCAGCCACAAGCCATACGATGGCGAGCATTGCAGCAAGGAACTAAAGGTAAATAGAAATTTTTTATATTTAATCGGGAAGAATTCAAATACTTTATAGAGTCCCTTCAACATCACAATCGGCATGAAATACTCTGAGTTTATCAAATAATGTTTACATAATTCCTGGGAGTGGGAAACAAATATACTACACAAACACACGAAATGAATTAGTTCGGAGTTATGTAATGAAAGGCAATAGGCTTAAAGGTATATCTCTGTTATTTAAAGATTAAAAATTGAAAGCTTTCACTTACCTTGCTGCGCGCATCAAAGCAATGGCATGATCCAATTTTCTCGCGCGTAATAACTTATGTATTCTTATCAAACAATCTTCCCTAAAAGAAAATAAAGAAAATAAAGAAACTGAAAACATATAGAATTAGAAATCTATCGAAATCAAATTTACTCAAATGAAAAGAGAAAACGTTATAATGAATAACTTAATCTAACTTGGCTAAAAAAAAAGTTGTCGACTTTGTATGAAATGAAATGTTAACACAAACGTTTGATAAAGTAATGAGTAAAGAATATACATATAATAGGCAGGCAGATGAGAAATCAATATTTTTTTAATTAAACAACGAAATGAGGTTAAGCGAAATCAATTTTTTTTTCCTGTTTTATTTGTAAGCAAATAAGATTTAAGCCGTGGAAACAGTAAATTTTAGAAGGAAAACATTGTATTTCCGAACAAAATATTACAAGCGCTAACTAAATTAAAAGTACGTAAATAATTGTTGTAGATTTAGTCATTTTTGGGTTGATTTGCAGACAAAAAAATTTCTAATTAATTTAAAAAAGAAAACTTAAAAAAAAATTTTACTTTTTCCTTCATTTTTATTAAAGAGCACGTCAAAAAAAGCTCTATGAATATACGAGAACTTGGCTTCGGCTTGTCTTGGTTACGATATTGTCAACGAATTGTTCACAAGACTATTTTTATAATTTCTAATTAAATTTTACTTGCCTATGAAAAGCTTTAGATTGTGTTTAGCCAAATAAAAGAGTGAAGCTCTTTACTTGTAATACTTACCTTTGGTCGTCAATACTTTTATCGGAAGTCGTATCGAACGGAATAGGTTGATCCTCTTCGGCAAGTTGTAAATCGTTTGTTAACAATTGTGTAATTTCATCGGCCATTTCGACCCATCTATTCGATAATTCTTCCTGAAAAAACAAAAAAAAAAATTAACAGTGATAATGAATGATGCATGACAAACAAGTAAGAAAATTACATTCGGTTGTGAACGAAAGTTTTATACCCATTAACGTGATCCAAAAAAAAAAAAAATAAATAAAAATGATTAAATTTTCACACTCTAAAACATTGGGTGGGAGCAGGTGATTTTTTCTATTTTGAGAATAAAGGCGGAAGTTCACATGGTGTATGTGTTTTAGTTTATGAGTGAAAAGCAAAAAACAAGGCAAGCAAGTGTTCACAGTTTTTGTTATATAGACGTGCGGACGTTTTTGGGGGGGTTCTTTCAAAAGTTCAGCTCATTTTCAAGTTCTTTAGCCAGTTTGTAGGCAATATTTTCGTTTTTGCGAACGGAAGAACATTTCGCACAGATACTATACAGTTGCATTGCTTAGGTATATCGCGAATTTGAACCTATATTATATACTTTATGGGCTTATTCTACGCGCGGCTTCTAAATGACACAAACGTTTCGCCAAAATTATAAAATAAAAGATCGTGTTTTCCACTTTTTAGGGTCAATATTACATCGTTTATGGAGTATAGCTTCAAATTTGTGCAGATTGATCAGCTGTATGAGTAATGAGCAAAAAAATCAATCTTTTATTGCTTTTAACAAATAAAAGTGTCTCCGCTTTACGTAGCATTGTGGGCGTGGCCTTCAACTGAGTTGAGCTATTTTCAATAGTAACCTGCGTCCAAGAACTTCAAAATTTGAAGTTGGCAACTTCATTTTTGAGGCCATGAAAGTTATTTACAACAGACATTATACAGACAGGCAGACGGACATACTTAAAATAATTCGAATGTGATGCTGATCAAGAACATATGTGCTTTTTGGAATCTCTGAAGCCTCCTTCTCAACTGGACAAATGAATACAACTCTCATTCTGTGGTGATGGATATAATAAAAGCAAAAATAATTAGTAAGAAAGAAATTATTCAAAAATGATATTATATATAAATAAAAAATGAGATAAATACACCTCCTCTTCTAACAAAAACGAACAAGTAGAACGAAAGTAGAAAAAACATTGTGAGATGTGGGCACGTGATTATTCTAGGAAATAAAAGGTATGAGTTTTTGATAAAATTGAATCGCTTGTTACAGAGCTTAATAATCGAAATATGCACTATCGTTATCTCCACGAGAGTGACCTGCGTTTTGGAGGTGAAATAGCTATCGATTTGTCTTCAATGTTCATGAAACGCTAATCTCCTATTTTGAACGCGTCAGGTACGCGCATCCAATGTTATGCGGGAACAATTCATTTGTACACCTAATATATATTTTTATATTCTTGTTCAGTCTATATCACGATTTCATTTTAGATCCATTTCCAGTTTGTTAAGTTCTGTCCTAGTAATTGAGTAAAGTGTTCCAATATAAAATGGAATTAGGAGGGTTACCGCAGTACCATCGAGTTCGAACTTGATTTTTGTAACGACTGGCAACGGTAATGTTTCGAAGCGATTATGCCATTTTGTTTGCTCTTGATCGAGGCGCTGAAGCATAACATCACCATCATCACTCTGATCCATCCAAATCCGTGTAAATAAGTATGCTGGAACCCATACAGGTTAAAATAATAAGAGATAATAAGAGATAATAAGATGCTCGGGACCGCCATTACGCAGTCTCAATTTAATAATCGTTCTAACTTGATATTAAAGTAGAAGCATAGATTAGTCGAGTGTAGTCACAAGGACTTCTGAGAAGAAGCTTGATTGGTGGTTAAATTGAAGGAACGGAAAAATTTAAGAAGGAAAGAAAAAAGTCAGATAGGTTGACGCATAACAACTGATGTTTAATAATATAGTCTCACCGGTGTAGAATTGTTGAAGAATGCATTTTTATACATTCTGCTAAGATAACAAAAGATAAGCCCTCTATTAGTAAGACGGCAAGCTTAAGTTTTGTTAATGAGCCAAGGAGCGAACGGGCGATCCAGACAGCAATCGAACTAATTCGACTCTTTACAACGCTGAATAAGGGAATTCCTTTAGCCCTATTCGTATGTTCTTTTCATACGTTCTTTGCATACATACATCACCTTGGATTACACATAGAGTACGAAAATCCGTGCGAAGGGCGCTTCCATGCTGCCGATCTTACGGTTAGTTAAGTTTACATGACATGTTAAGCTAAAAATACTTTCATGAGTAATAATATGTTAAATGAAGTATCCATAGCATGCGGCGCATCCACGAGTTGCTCCACACTATCCTAGGTGTATTCATGTAACGACTTTTTAGAATAAGATGTTATATGGGACGTGGTCGAAAAAGCAGTTCAATTCGAACCATTTTCAATAGCATTCGTCCATGGGCCAAAAATCGCGACCGTCATGTTGAAAAAAAGAAAACAAGATGGGCAGGTGGGCAGATGGATAGACAAGCTGAAATTGACTCTGTGATTCTGAACTGATCGGTATAATAAAAGGTGGGTCTATCCTAAATCGTTCCGCACAGACTTAATATACCCTTGACCCACAAGCGATGTAGACTATAAGCCACACGTTTTTAATGCAACAAAAATAGACAAACGTAAAGTATCAAATGATTCGATTTAAACTGAGTTTATCTTAAATGTTTTCTTTCGTTTTGTTTTTTGTTATCGGATGTATTTATTATTATTTTTACAACGATTCTTCAGTTCAGGTAAATTTTAAGTAAATATATGTACGCGTTGTTTATGTTCACATTTTTAACGCTTTTTAAATAAATAAACAAGGAAAATTTTATGATATAGGCATCTTATCAAATTAACAATAACGTGGAGAGGAAAAACAACAACAATTAAACCGTATTATTTACTATTCTACGCACCACAGAAAAATTTAAAAATATTTTATAGCTCCAATCATTCCAGCTTACAAGACTAATTTAACCATGTCTGTCTATCTGCTTATAAGGTGAAATGCTGATCGCCATCTTGAAGACTGATACAATTATGTAAAGCCTCCTTTAGAGTTTCAATTTAGTAGAGCTTCAAACTGAGTCGGACTGACGGACTTGTTTGCAGATATCCAAAGGCCGTACGCACATGAGTTCATAAAATTGATTTACAATGGGCAGCCAAATTGTACAAATACACAAACTGAAATGCACACGAGCTACAACATATATGATACAATATATAGGATACGATACATGATATATCGAAGGAATAACGCGAATGCAGATACAATACATACGATACGTCATAAGATATACCGAGAGAAAAGCTAAAGCGATCAGGTAGAGTTACAACGTATACGTTATGATGTACGATAAATTGAGAGAATATATGCTTCCCCTATCTGCTTATTCGTTATCGTAAGCAAACTAACGACAGGCCTTGAAAGTTTCGGTCTTTAATTATCTCTTCGCTAATATTATTTATATTATATAAAATTTAATTGAAATTTCTCAGAGAAACTTTATTAATAATATTTTAATCATTTAAAAATTTAATAAAAAAGAAAATGTTTTTTTTTTTCCATTTGTGGTTTTGGCCAAAACCATTTTAATCTGATTAAATTTGATTATGCGCATAATGATGACTGAATAATGACTCAAAGTGCAACATAGTCTTAATTATACTTGTTAAACATAAAATAATAATGTTACTAATAAGTCAGTGAAATCTCTTTGTATTAATTGGGAGAGCTTTTTAACAGCACTTAACAAACAACAACAAAATTTTCAATTTTTATCGAAAATTTCCAAATATTATGTAGTATCTTCGCAAAGTCAGGCAAATTCACTGTGACTTATTAATTGCATTAATATTTTATACATTTTGTATTTGTAAGTTACTTACTAAATGAAATGTTAAAGTTATCGCTCTTGTACTATTTTCAAAGAAGGATATAATAATAATAATGTGAATTAAAGTGAATCCGTTTATTCACATGCAAGTACAGTGAATTCAGCTCAATTGCATCTCTTTCATGACTACAACTTTTTCCTACTTTTGTTTTTGCATATTCTCAAAAACCTCAACTTTCATATGAAAAAAAGAAAACTAAGCACAAATTTAACTGTGGAAAAGCAGAAAAGACTATTCGACTTACAGTAATTTCAGCCTAACTGTTTCGTCTCAAAAAACATTATTTTCACATTACTATAAAA